ACATAGTATGTCAGGAAAAGGTAAAAGCCTAGGAAGTATTTAAAAAAACATTGCAATTAATTGCGTAGTATTTAAAAAAAAGAATGTCAAAATATAGAATAATAAAAAAAGCACATTAGAAACATAATATAACATGTTGAAAAAGAAATTTAAAGTTTGTCGGAAAAAAAACTACTATACTTTGTTTTACTTTTTACAACACGTTATGAATGGAGTTTTGGCAATAAGGGTCCGCAGTTAAAACAAAATAAGGCTACATATGGTGTCTCTTACTGTCAGCTATCTTTAGCAAAGCAGGAGCAGGAATTAAAGCCACAGCTTGTTTTGCTGACAATTTTTTTCCAATACTTCAGCTCTTAGTTAGATAATAATAGCATTTATCTGATCATTTTATTAAAATGGGTATTAATCTAATCAATAAAAGATATTTAATACATACTGGTTACACTGTATACACTCATATGTCACCTTCTGTTTTTTATGTAACATTTGCAGTGCAACACATGAGGACAACAAGAATACTAATACAAAATAACTATTTTTGAGGTGTGGAACATACAGAAATGAAAGATAACTTTAGAAATAGAACCATAATAACTTTGTAACCGCTTGCAGGCTGCCTCATTTATTAACCCATTTGCCGCAATTTGTATTTTACTAATATTTTTCGACAACTCTGATTCATGTCTGAATACTTCTTTTGTTTCATTCTCCCTATTACCATATGGTCAAAAGCGCCTGTGTAAAGCTGGCCTCTCCTTTCCTCTGGATCAGGCCCAGGATCAGCAACGCTGAAGTATTTCCGAAGCTGTCAAGAGCTGTATGAAAAAATACTACACAAAATAGGAATGACACATGCCCGATGTGCTGAATCATAAAGATTTACACTCATATGTGAGTATGTATCTGCTGAAACAGCTGATGTGCATCAAATGAAACACAGTACCTCAGCTCACAGGCAGAGGACAGCCTTGCTCACCATGCTTTGCAGAGTGATTTACAATAATAATACCTCATTTTTCATTTTAATTCAGCATAATGCGGATATTTTCTTATCTCTGCTGATAGTGTAAACACATATTTTTTTATGCCCAGGAGAAAAGTATTTTTTTTTACTAATTCATTTAGTCACACATTTGTGCCTGTAATGCATCTATCTGAAAAATGTGTACCGCTCACATGTGTCTTCAATGTTCAGCTGGTTTCACAGTCGATTTCAGTGCTTAATTCAGTAGGTCAACAGCATGTAGCTTGATTTCACTATAAGCTATTCATACAACCCTGTCAAATGTCTTTTCTACATTTTGAATGGGGGAGGATAAATGTACCTGCTCGCGCTACCGCAGAGCTGCCAATAATAATGTTGCTCATCGTGACCCTTGAACTTCAGCTCTCTCCCTGCCAGTGACCGCGTTGACCCTGAGCACACATTCCTGGAGCTGAATCTGAGGACCTCAGAGTTTATTGACAGTGTAAGTGGATATCAACCAAACCCACTCAGAACCCGTACGGCTGAAGTTGGACTGTGTTAACATTGAGGGTACCTGTGTGTTACAATACTGAACGCGTATGAGGTCCGTATGGTGTGTGTGTGTGTGTGTCTTATGGCTCCAGGCTTGAGCGCCCAGTGTGGGCTTCCTTTTATCAATAACGCACCCTGAAAAATTGTTCTCTGCGAACAGGATCTGTTGACCCTGGCTGTAACACCAGCGCACAAATGGTCCATTTGTTTATAAGATGACGATCACCGGTCGGCCGACCCTTAGAGGCACTGACAGACATAAACATTGTTTTTCCTCTGCAGCCTCTACCTGACAGCAAAGGTGACTGCGTGTCAAGGTTCAGCCTAAATAACCGCTTTGATAATTCATTTGCGAATTAGGAAGAGGCCTGTTTATCTTAGATTTTGACATGCAGGGGAAAAAGGAGCCGTGTTTAGCTGGGATTACAATGCATTATCCTCTCTAACATCAAAAGTCAACGCAATATACAGTTCAATGCATGTATTTGAAACTGTTGAAAAACAAATAATTCACAAATATTGCATGACGTTGGTGGGGGAGTTTAATTTCTGCTTAAGAAAGTTATCTGTGGAAAAAAATGATCCTTTTTAAACAATATATTGTGTCATAGTAGGAAAAGCACAGGTGTTACCAATAACATTAGTAATCACATGGTTCCATTCAGGTGTTAATGATTAGGCCATTGCTGTGGGATAGTGTGTGAGCATACATGATAGGAAACTGAAGCAGCAAAAACAGGAATTTTACCATGATTCATTTTATTATTCACATCTGTGCCATTTGACAATATGTTGCTGCAACGTTCTATTTATTGTCCCAGTGAAAGGCGTGATTTCCCGGCATAACTGAGCGCCAGCAGGTGGAAGTGTTTCTAGTCGGGTCTGTTTTAATAGTATCAATGTGTCGCCGGCAATTAGAAACATTTGCAGCGAGACTTTGTGATAACCTCATTGTTTTTTCGCTCAGTTACCCGTTCCGTTTAAATGGGTTGTTGTAAGTACCTTTTTAAATTTGGTAGTTAATTATAATAATTCTAAATAAAATAAAAGTTGAAAGAGACATGATTCAAGTCCTGAACATGTCCAACACATGCATCTTCTATTATCCTCAGAACTTGAAACAAAGCATGATAAGGTGAGTGAATGCTGCGAAGAATTGGTAGTATTGGGGGAAATTAGCATCCACGTTCTCGCAATGAAAACATGAAAAGTACTGATTGAACAGGGCGTAGTGACCCGATTCATAGAACACATTTATTCTCGCAGACATAATTATTCTCTGATTTTCTAATAATTAAGTCTGAAATACATAGAGAAAACTAAACCTCATTACAGTCAGTGTCTCATTAAATTCAGTTTTTGCATTTTAAAGTATGATTTTTCCAATTTCTTCACAAGGGATGTGTTATTTTTAACGAGGTCTTTAGCTGTACCAGCGAGCGCCATTGAATAGTGTACGATTCCCGTGTTTCCAGGACATAAACTACCAAAGATTTTCAATGGCCATGTCTTTATTTTTTACCTTTTCTGCTCCACAGGAAACAGACGTCTGCATGGACATCTGCTTTCAATTTCTACAGGTTTACTTTGTCCGATCCTGAAGCCCCGCCCCCGTCCCAGTGTGGTGTGTTTTCATAAGACCCATTTTCCTATTTGATTGTGTTTTAAGGAGTAGATGTCAGTCAAGAGCATATTTATTCCGTCTGAATGTGAAGAAGGAGGGGATAATGAGCCACACTGGTGCAATAACAGTTCCTAAAAAATGTTTTCCTTTACATGATGAAACCAGTTTGAATGTCTTGACTGCGATTCACCTATCTGGATAATGCTTTTTATGTAATTCTGTGCGTGAACAAGTATTCAAGTGTTCCAATTCAGTCATGTTGAAATAGCCTCCTGCAGCTAATTTATGTCCATCATGCTTGCAGGCACTGGACACCTGGGCTTGACCCTGCAATTAGACTCACCTGATATCGACATGCAGGCTTTACAAGCTTAGATTACATATGGAACACAGTTACAACCAGGAAGGTAAAAGACCACCCAAAACGTGAAAAACATCACTCATATTGGAATGAAAGTAGCTGCTCAGAGTTCAACCTTGGTTCCTGATCTTGGTTTTGATGTTTTAAAACCGCTTGTCTTCCAGTGAGCTCTTATGGTACTTAGTTTGACTTGTGGAATCCTTCATGCAGTGCGTCTGTGCTGCAACATCAATCATTAAAAGTACTCAACGGGAGGCAATTAGAGAGGGGACCAGCGCCCCCGTTTGTTTATTCTTTTGCAAAATGACTGAGTGACTAACATGGTCTGCTTTTTTTAGGGTTTTGTGTTACACAGAGCAGAAGAAAAATGTTTAGAGCCAGCGTCATTCTTTTTTTTTTAACATGATGTGAGTTCAATGGGTCTTTAGAGCAGTTTGCGTTGGTACGGTTATGAAATATAAATTGTGTCCTTCTCTCCTTTTCTTTGTAACATATTCAGTGCTGCATTTATACATCAATCAACGAGAGAAGCTACCTTACTTTATTGAGGAAATCTCTGCTGTTTGTGTCATATATATAATCAGTTCAGATGTTTTCATTGTATCTCAAAATCAATTGGGGATTTTACCTGACTTTTACCAAAGTAGTGGCCTGGACTCTGCATGCAGCTATCGGATGAGAGCGCTCCTTCTTAGTAGAGTAAAAAAAGATTCAAACAAATCTGCAAAATCGGGGAAAAGGCTCAGTTGCAAGAACTTTGCGGATTGAATTACTTAGTTCTCATACCTCACATATACCCAAATACCTTGCGTCTCAATATTAATCCTGCTCATCAACTATGACCTCATCTAGCACGCAGTCACTTTTAAGTCAAAGCACAAACTAACAACTCAATTAGCTTTCTTTTCCTGTTGATATACCAAACAAATTAACTCTCATTTCCTGTACATCTAAAGAGTCTGCTATTCCAGTTTGTTCCCTGCAGGACCGACGTGCGCCACCTTGTTTTGTGGCGGACCACATGCACACATCAAACAGCTGTTAATAGCAGCCGCATCACAGCACATTAACCTCGCGTAAACATGCCGTGAACCTCGGGTCAGGGCAGGAGGTCAGCATGTGTGTGTCTACTCACACACACTCATTTGTTCAGGACTTTAAGAACCCACAATCAGTGCAATGTGCATTGTGTTACCAGTTCAATGTTTCGCCTCACATATTAGTATTTTGTCTTGAAGTACCTTGAGATATATTCCACCTTATGGAATTTAACCTCGCATGAGTTAAATTAGAAAGAAACATGACGCCTGAGTTGCTACTAACTTACTGGTTTGTCCTCCTGAGTGTCCCTCGCATACCACACTTAGTGATTTGATTAACATATTCATCATAGCAGCTAACAACCTCTTTATGATGGAAATATGTATAATTGCCCCTTCTGGGAGATAAAAAAAAAATGGGTGGAAGAAAATGAAAATGAAATTGGACTGACGTGATGTAGATAAATATTTTATTGTCATAGTAATACTATTACAATCATCTCATGCCATAAGGGAAATATGAAAGATCTAGAACACTATGCTGTATGAGGTCTATCTGTGTAGACAGCTTTAATTATTATTAGCATACGCGTTTGAAGTCAAAATTAAAAAATAGTTGAAATAGTACATTTGGACATCATGACCGCAAGAAAGAAAATACAGTATAACTATAGTAGTTAAATAAATTAAAGAAATGATGATGTGAAAAAAAACACACACATAGCGTGAATCCTCTCAACAGCAAAGCAATTGATAAGTACGATACAGTCATGACAGTGAGACACTATGGGGCCACGGTGGTTAGTTCCTGATTCGGTTTTCAAAAATATACTGCATATCTATTTATATATTTATACAAACAACAACAAAACCTTTGATTTTCATTTTATTTCATAATTCTAAAATACATCTATAATATTTAGAAACAATATATACAATTAACACCCACAATTAGTTTTTATGCCAGAAATTCTTCCTAAATGGAAGAATAAATTAAGGTCCAAGGAGGAAGACTTTAGTTTGTAAGCCCAGGCGGGTTTAAGAGCTGATAGACTTTGCTTGTCTCACACACACACACACAAACACACACTCTCTCTATTCCATAGGCACACACACAGACACACACAAACAGACAAAGGGCATATGGTTCCAGTTGTACTTATTGAAGGTAATTGATACTCAGCAAATGTTTTGCTGATGTTCTCAGGTTCTCTTATTGACGAGTCGAGAACTTATATTATAAGAGGTTTGAATGTTTATTATTTAGATTTCATTGTAACGCGAAGGGAACTAGCACGCCTTGTAATATTTGTGCGATGTCCAATAATACTTCCCCCTTGTGAGCTTCCCCTTTTCTTTCCGCGTGTGTACGTTTTGCGTGTGAAACAACCGAAACCCCACAAAACATTTACGCTTCAAGAGTCGTAACGTCGTATGAACTTTCCTGCCAATGAACATCTCAAGAGGTTCCATTGACTCACCCTTCAACGCAGACTTTATCTAACCCAAGATCCACGCAGTGCATTGATACCATACAACCAAAGCTGATCTCACATCCTTTCTCTGTGCTGTTCTTCATCCCTTCGAGATTCACCACCTTCTTTTCCAGCGTCCTCCAGGCCGTGTGACGCACAACCAGATCAAGCTCTTTACGTGAGAGTTCTTTCTCGCGGAGGGCTGCCTGCTTCCATGCAGTCCCGGCAGATGCCCTCCTACAGAAACACCGCGCATGCCTGTGGGATAACCGTCAGCAATGTGCAGAGGAAGACGAGTAATGATGGTGCGGTGGAGGCGGTGGTCCACGCCGAAGACATGTGGTGGCGGTGGCTGTGGACTCTGTCCGGCGGCTGCACTGTGATGTAACCATTGAGGATGCGAACCAGCGGCGGAGGTGGAGACTGGACCATACTGCTGCGGGGAGGAGACAACAGAGGACAGACAAATGATATTTAGAAAAAAGATCTTAATATTTCCAGCCTGATTTTCCTATTAGCCATTAAACGTTGGGGTTGGAAAGACAATAATAATGAGCAAAAGACCTGGACTCTCTGCATCCCCATATTGTCCACAATTCAAGAGACAATGTGCAAACTGCAGGAACTAAAAATCAGAAAATATTAACGAAGGCGAGGGCGACACAGGAAAGAATTCCACAGCACAGATCAATCAAACAAATAAAAACTCCTCGGCGTGCAACTCAATGATCAGCATATGGCTTTAAATCAACAGCCAATCAGCCCGCATGCTTCTCCCTTTTTCTTCTTTTCCCAATATTATCCATCCTGTCAGTCTGTCTGTCAGTCTGTTTTCTTTAAACAAGTCAGGCAATTAAACCATTTTTGATCTGCAGTTTGAATCAGAGACTGTGGAGCTTGTGTGGTTTGGACTCGAACGAGGTCCAGAAAAACAAACACTACAGTTCCTGAAGTCAGAATCTCCTAACACAACTGGACCGGCAGAGAGGTTTGGCAAGAAAAGTGTGTCTATCCGCATTGGGAGAAAATTTTTTCCCAGCCCTAAAAATGATCAGTGGTCGTAGTTCTGACTGTCTGCAGACAAATCAGACTACTGAAATGAAGCTGCTTAAAGCATTCTGTGTGTGAGAGCTGTATTAAGAGATGAGAGAGAAAAAACACCCAAATAGGTAACAGCACACACACACACACACATATATTCAATGATTCATAAATTTGCCATGACTGATCTCCTTACTCACAGATGCTTGGAGATAATATAATCTGCTTTGCATTGATTGCATTGATCGACTGTTCAGCCTGCAGCTGTATTATTTGCAACATTTTAGTGTGGACAATTATTCCATACGGACCAAACAGGGCAGGACTTTTAACTGGTACATTCTTGGCAAGGTGTATTTATTTTGTCTGTGTGTCCATAAGCTATTCAAGCAGCTTTTGAAAGTCCAGAGGAAAACCTCTTTTTACCTTTTTTTAACGATATGAATCAGGTTTATTTAGGTTTGAGGGCAAAGACAGCTGTCATGCATGACATATTTGACACCGTCTTTTGGACTAAATATCTCCTTTGCTCAATCATCCACCTTTTGAGAGATTAAAATATACAAAAAGGTCTGCCGTGTACACTAACATATGCACACAAACAGTCAGTTTCCTTTCTGTTCAAAATACAGAGGCTCTCAGAAAGTGAGAAAACATTTCCACAGACATAATGTACACAAACGCTCACAAACCCCCTCTGTTAACGAGAAGAACAGACGCTGGGTGGATATTTCTTTCTGCAAAGAAATTGGGAAATTGTATATTTCTGTATACAGGTAAAATATATCTAGATGCGTAAGAGCAGAGTCCCACACTTGTCTAGTTTTGCTCCCTTAACTCACCAGCGAGCTGCAAATATTGATATGCACGAGAATTGCAGCTTTACCAGGTTCAATTTTCAATTAAAAAGACACCAGACTTTACATTCTCTTGTTCCTCATTTGTCTTTCTCCTTTCATGTTCTGCTCACACCCGGTGCACGAGCCACAGCACTCCGCACTGCTCCTATTCCACTGCTTTTCTGCCACGGCGGGAAACGTAAAGGACTCAGATCAGCTCACGTGCTAAACCACATGTTCTCCAGCAATGGAATCATTTACATTCTCCCAATCACCCAGCCTGCATGTATTTGGTATGTTATAGGAAACTATAACAAACACAGGGAAATAGAATGAAGATAATTGCTGCTTTTGATTAACAAAGGAAGAAGAAGAGTCATTAAAAGCAACATCAACGCGTACAGACATTTAGTAATATGAACCACAGATTAAAAGAATGATATTGTTGATGCTAGCTTTTCTCTTCAACGGGACCAGAGTTTATGTTCTTGCATAAACAGTTTCCATCTGTATAACGTTAATACCAGCCATAGAAAACAAGCTCTGTGTTCCACACACATCAGGAGGATGGGAGGGTTGACACATATGCAACATGTTCTCATTCGGGAGTTTTGGTAAAAGGAAAGAAAGACACTAAAAAGATTCATTAGGATTTTGCACCGTTATACTACGTTCACGCTACAAGCAACAAGCTACAAAGTAATGATTCCTCCCACGGTAACAAAATTCCCCGAGTCAAGTGAAGCTGATCCTCTAAATTGCCGCTAGGTGTGAAAGTTTCTGTTATGACTTGTGAGATTATCGCCTGCGCACGCCGATATATCCTCCGTAAACTGGTGTACAAAATGCATGACGGGTCATATAAATATTTTTGCTTCCTGCCCGCTTGCACAATTTCATTCATGAAAACACTCCAATTTCGCCCTGCAACAAACTGAAACAGCTCTCCACATAACAGACCACACCTCGTGCAGAAGGCTCCTTTTTGTCTGAAAGATGAGCTTCGTTGTCCGGTTCGATCTCTGCCTGCAGCTACTTTGAGAACAAAACCAGATACTTAGCAGGAATTCCCAGGCTGCTATTTTTCCATCCAAGACACTTATAGCATCTAGGAACGAGTCTGGACATGGAGTGTGTGTGTGTGTGCGTGTGTGTGTTTATGAGGGATAGGTGTGCAGATGGCATGAAGAGTACGGTGATGTGATACGGTGGCTGTTTGGGCCTGCGGCGTCGCACCAGGAAGTGTCAGTTCTAGTCTCCGGACAGGTGGATCGGCTGCATTACACATTTCCAATTTCCCCTCGTATCACTTCCTCTCTGTCTATCTTACCGTTGCACTCTTCTCTCTTCTATTGCCCGCACCTGTTTGCCCTCCGTCTCACTTTCTCAGCAATTCTCCTCATCCCCTTTTTACAGCAAATGAATGACAGGTGTGTATCCGACACGGGATCTCACCTTTCCTCAATGCGAACCCAAAGGTCGTTAAAATGCCGGTGCCGCTGTTTCTTCTGCTTGTTCCTCCTCTTTTTCTTCAGCATTTTTCTCTCCGCTTTCTCCAGCAGCTCCAGGCTGTCCGGGGGCAGATGCATGTGAGGTAGCAGATCATCCTCCAGGGGACGCCCCTGATCGTCCTCTTTGTAGGGGAGCTCGTGGAAGAAAGGTTCTAGGAGAGGGGGCTCATCGTGGTGGTCTTCTGAATCTGATGAGTCAGGTCTGGATGATAATCTCCTAGCGGATTAAAATCACAGGAACACACAGAATTAAATTACAGGACGTGCCGTTTGACCTGTTGGCATATGTGGGACGTGACCACTGTTGGACATTGGTCCAACATAAGTTTATCAGTAATTCTGGGGTAGAATTGTATTATGGGTGGATTAGTACTAATAGTTTTTCTCATGTTGCTGTCAGTAAGGTGGATGCTATGTGAACTTAATATGGGCAGAATTCATGGAAATGCAAAACTGAGCTTGGTTTGGAGCGAGCAGCTAAATCCGGTGGAATCAACAACCTAACAAAAAAAATCTTCAATGCCTAAATAGATCAATAGTGCTGCTTAAATGGTTTCCATGGATTTTGTGAAAAAAGGTGTGCTGAAACAAACTAAACCCGCATTCATTCTCTTACACAGTCCACACAGAACAAAGATCTGCAATGAGATAGCCACCCGCGCAGTGTGATACGGTAGACTGCCCTACATGCTTCACCGCGGGAGGTATAAGCTCTGCTTTGGTTGGCCTTTTCAACAACACTTCATTGGCGGCTGGTAGAGAGTTTTGTCAGATTTATCAGCATTACAATCTACAATCTACAATCTCCAGTGAATAAGGGACATCACTGAGCATACTTTCTGACTGAAAAACATAAATATGAGATCCAACCATCGCACGGCACTCCTTGACTCCACATACTCATACATGCAGTAAACTGCAGGACTGCACCCCAACCACCTCTTACAAAATGCTTATGCTTGGTTCATGAGAAATGTCTGCGGAATTATAGTAAGATATATTATGACATCAAATAATTATACAGAATGTTGAAAGTAATTTGATATAACATTTTATAAAATAAAAAATAAAAAAACATAATAATGATAATGTATTTGAGGATGGTCTCCCAGTACAAAACGCTGCTGTTTAGCTATTCTCTATTTGCCATTGGGACCACAGTACCGTGGACCAGTAAGGATGCAACAATACTGTAATACCAGTTTTCTAAGCAACGGGGGGGCTTCCTTCATCACTCACTGAAGAGGGTGTAGGATGGCCGGCAGCTGGATGTGCTGCCTTATTTACTGCGGTTTCCGCTCATACTTGCGTTGGCATCTCCTGATTCTACGGCTACTGTTATACAAAATCCCATTGAGTGAACGTGGAGTCAATTGTAGGTCTTTTTTTCTCATAGTACTAGGATTACACTATCGTAACCTTCGTTTTGATGAATGAGCGCAGTCAGCCCCTGTTGCTGTAACAACCACGTTGTTTCATTGCTTCACAGTTAAAGCCAGCTCATGATTCGCCGGTTGCTTTTCATGTGAGGCCGTATGCATTTGGTATGCATTAGCAGTAACTTAATACAGCTCTGATACAGCCTTGGGAAAGTGAACAGTAAACAATGCGTCGGTTCTTGTGAATCCCTCATTTATTTGAGAGCAATTATATTCAAATCCAGGCATGGAGGGCTCCGCCTGTCACAATGGAAACTAATATGGAGAGAGGGATAAGTGGTATAACAAATAGGGGTTTGATTCCATGAACATCTTAAGGAATATGATCAAATATTTCAAACCAATGAGTACAAAAAATGACAAATTCCTGCAAAAATCACTGTTTTATTATATATATTTAAAATGAAAACAATAAGTCTATAATTTTTGTACTGAAAGTTAAACATAAAGTGCTTAAAATCTCCACATTTTTGGTTTTCCTCTTTATGTAATCTATAAATAAAATAGATCCATTGTCGATAGTACAGGTAAAATAATAAATTACAACTACAAAATGAAAAGCTGTTTATGAACATTTGGATAGAGTTTGACTCCCTTAATGGATAAGTAAGGAGCACAGTATTTCCTGATTCGCTAAGCAACGCATTTCTCACAAAGGGCCGAAGCAGAACTTCAACATCTGTTTCAGGTCTGAAAATGAACACGGTCCAACTCTGCAGTTGTGCTTACTGGTGAAATTGATTTCCCATTTCAGATCCAGTGAAAAGGTTGAAAGGAATATATTCCTGTCAGGGCCATGAGACAGCGGTTGCCCTCTGAAATGTGTTGTGGAAATGAAACTGAATACACCCATTCAAAGGATAAAGTTTGGTCTTGGAGTTTTAAAGACTTGTGTTTTCAGAAGAAATCATCAATACAGCGACTGTGATACAGAATAGTTTTCCATCAGTCATCTCTGTATTCCACACCTTTTCTTGCATTTCAGATTTTGATGGAGATGAGTTAAATGTATTGTGATGTTAAGTTACAAAATGTCGGCGCTCAGAGATACCCGAGAGCATGAGCGTGACTGTGGGGAGCTAGAGGCGTTTTAGCAGTAAATGTACCTGTTTACGGGCTTCCCAGCAGGGGTGTGCTCCACACGGTATCCCTGGCGACGAAGTACTTCAATGACTGTGTTGTTTCCCAGAAAGTGACCTGCAATCAAAACGAACAAAAGTCATGTCACCTCACCTTCAAAATGCTAATGATTAGGCACAGCGAGCAAATTCAAACACAACATGTGCAACTCTTCCAACTGTAGTTCCTGGGAGAACTCGGCGTATATTTGCATTCCGTTCTCCACTATTGCACCTGCAGATTTACATTCTTTCAATTTGCACCATCTCTCTTCATCTTGTTTTCCCTCGGCCGCTCTTGTTTCATAAACTATCCTTTGTTTCATTTTTCTCCACCTCTTTGTCTTTCTTCCTCCACCCTAGGTCACTCTTTATCCGCCCTCATATCAGCCGTTTTTTTTTTTCCCTCCTCCCTCCATTTTCCTCTCTCCGTTCTCCTTCGTTATCTCTAACTCGCACTCTTCCTCGCTTTCTCGCTACTGACCCTCTCTAGCTACGAGAAGTGGGGGCTTTGAGGCTTCAGGTTGCCATGTCAAGAGGTCTCCATTCTTCCCCTTTGCTCTGACAAGGGGGAGCATGGGCCCATTGTTTGGGCCCGCTCGGCCGTGGCACCACGGAGCTGTGTAAACAATGAGCCCCGGCACTTTAATCTGGCCCAAAGCCATTGATGGAGAGCTTGGCCTCGATTCACTATTGGTGCCATAATTCTGCCTCATCTCTAGAAGGCGTTAGTGTTGGTTAAAACCAAGTCGCAGCGTGTAATAACCACGGAGGAGTACTAAGGAATGCAATGTCTGGTATACTGGTAAACTAGGGATTTTTGTCTGCCGACTGAAGGGAACAATGTCAAAGAAGTTTGATGGACCCTTTAAAAACTGACTATTTGGTATTTGGTATTTCTAAAGTCATGTTTTTTGTTCAGATTTAGAGTAACTGAACATAGACACCTCTCTAAATCATCTGGGCTCCTGGGAGAGTCTGAAGAGCAGCTACCAAGCATCTATTTTCTACTTCTAGCTGAAATCAGTATCAATACAGGTGGATGAATAAGCAGCAGCTTTTAACTCTCCATGGGGCTTGGAAACCACACCGAGAGACAGAGTTTCCCAGCCTGCCCACGTTTAGAAACAACTCAGTGTGATTTATGTGAGTTTGCTTCAGAGGATTAAGGTGGGACAAATGGAGCTGTTCGGCACAATGTAGGACCACAGAAGGGTGGGCGGCATTCAGGACTTCAAAGGTACACACTCTCATACACACTCTCATGCACACTCTCATGCACACTCTCATGCACACTCTCATACACACGCAAATTCTATTAGGAGGTAAACCATCAGGCCTGATGTGTTCCCAAAGGATTCAATGTGTTTTTTGGGGCAAGAAGGTACTGCTATTATGTAAGAAAAGGAGATATTGAATAAAAGTGTTAGAAGAGGCCTGATGAATTGACCAGTCTAAACGTCCAAATTCCAAATCTAAAGATTGGCCAAAGCTTTTTTTTCATGAGATCGAAAGTGATACATTTTTATTTTGAGAAATTATTATGGGAAACAAAAGAATGAAGGATTACATTACATGCTTTAATCCAAAGCGATTTACATTGGATTCATTATTAGGAGCAGCCGTCACAAAAAAAATGTTTGATACTAACTCTGCCAGTGAGACGATGTCACTGAAGGACAAACACAAACCAAATTCAGACACCCTTGATTGAAAATGATTGATGCCACAGAAAAAGGCAAAAAGAAGGAACAGAAAATTATGTTTTGGAATGTCGGCATTTTCCTGAAATTAGGCCTTATGTCTGATGCCGCCGCCAGTAAATGACGTATTTCTTCTATATATATTTCTTCTGTATATTCTAATACTTTGACATTCGCTCCAAAACAAAAAACATAATCGAAAAAATTCTGATTCTTATTGCGATTAATAATTTAGCATTCTTCCATTCTGTGTTAAGTTTAGTTCTGTCCCGCTGGTTTCACAGAAAGTAGACGTAGTACAATTCCTTCAGGTTATTGGGTTTGACGTGGCTAATCTGAACGTACTCCAGCTATAAACATTTGATGTTATTGTTGAGTATAACTTCCACACTAACGTCAAAAAAATTGTTCAAAACATTTTGATTCTGTAGTTATTAAAGTTTTCCAAGTTAAGGCCCAAAATGTGTCACATCAGTGTTGCATCGGGTTCCGTACATGAGAAATAGTAGCAGTCATACGAGAAACTAGAAACAGGCCTGCAGCACATAGTTAAGACCCAGCCCCACGATTAAGAAACCCACTTCTGGAGTGACATCTGACATATATTTCCACAGATTATTTATTTAGGCCAATTTCATACATTTTAAAGCTATGAAATAGGCCCCCAAAAAATATATGTATACATATATACATCAATGCACAATATGCAGACTGTGTGTCTTTCCAGGAGCGGGGAGATGGCAGAGATAATGAGCAGAGACAGAACTGAAAGCTCTCATTCAAAGTTAACTGCCTACACGCCGCGACATTCATACATGGCACCGCTGAGTCATTGGGTCGCAGGTTAGCTCATGTCATGGTCATAGAATTTGTGGTACTGAACTTTTCTAAGAATTGACAGCTTTTATAACATCCTATGTCCAGTATTTTAAGGAAATACAATGGCTGCTGCCTGGAGCCGGGAAGCGGGACTTTCTTATACCAGTGCATGTGCACATGCTCTTATCTTAAGGATTCAAAAACACGTGGCTGCTTTTGCAAAATTTTTTAAATAACCATTTTGCAAAAAGCATTTTGAAGATACATTTGTCAAAGCAGTCTTTTTGCAAATGTATTTCAGCATAATGACTTATAAGTAGTATAAATGTAAAAGACCAGTTGAAAGAAATGGAATTGTAAGAAAAGAGATCGCTTGAGTTGCAAGCAAAGTTAAATTATCTCATTATTGGAGTACAGAAAGGTTGAATAAAACCTTTCCACACACCTGTACTCAGTAAGGAGAACACCAGATGAGCACACACATTATCCGTCCCTAGAAAGACATCCAGTCTCCACAATCAGCGGCTCAGATTATTAGAACAGATGGTAAATCTTAAATAATGTTCCTTTTTCCATTCACATCAATATTTACGTTACAACTCGTAACCACTAGCCAAGCAGCAGTCCTCATAACATTACAGCATGTTGGATAAACAAACCCTACAGGCAGTTCTGAGGCCATCCTGCCCCATACAGATGATGCTAACATGTTCCTGCTCGTGTGCTGGCCTGAGCAGCCTTCTATCACTAAGACCTACTTAAAGGAGACAGCGAGGTGTCTGGTACTTTCTTTCGTATTCTGTGTTTTATTTGCCAATGAAAGCACACACACGTTTGGCTTGACTGAGCATTGGAACGGGCAATTTTTAATGCTGTTGATTCTTGTGTAGATATTTGACATTGCAGGGGTTTTCGGAATAGAAATTACAGAGAGCTGTTAAAAAATAGCATTAAGCTTCTCAAACTATCATCAAAACTCAATAATGGACTGACATTTAGGATTTGACATTTCTATGACACTAGCGAAAGGGTTTTTTTTGGGGGGGGGTCCCTGCATTGGCTCAGAGTCAACAGTGGAGTGAAAGCTCGGGGTCTTCGTCAGTCACAGAGACAAAGCCATCCATTAAAGTGTCAGATATGTCAAAGAAAAGTAGCAGTACATGTATCGGCTATCCACTGGCATAAAGATCCAAGAGCCCCAAAAAAACAAGGCCAGAACTATATTAACGCTCATATCAAGTTCAGGGGAAAAAACCTGCCTGGACAGCACTTCTTCTTACGCCGTGAAATTGTCTGGAGTGTTTGACGGGGAGCCTGTTCCATCTCAGTCTCATCTATTAGCAGTCAACTGCAATTTTCTTGAAAGGAACAGGACACTGTTGCTCTCCTAATTAAGGAAATATGATCAAATACTGTCGAGATGCGTCATTATGAGGTAGCATTATAATGTAGTCCATCAGTCTTTATCTCCTAAAATGCACAACATGTTTGGGTGCACTCACTCAGAAATACTGTCATTTTATTATAGGATCACAAAACTCTTTTGGATGTATCCTATTGGGACCACTGACATACTGTACACAATTGCAATCCATCAAGTAGTTGTTTCCGTGTTTCAGCATGGCGGGGGGAGTACGGCAGTGGTGACCCCCACCACCGACCGACATCGTCATCCCCCCAAAGCTACTTTATAAAATGTTAGACGGCGACATGAATCCAGCAGAGACGTGCTAAGTGCTTTAAGTTAACATATCGTCACCGCAATTAAATGACATGAAAGCTGCAGTTACTGTTGTTTAATTCGAGTAACACAGCCAACTTGTGGTGTTGAAACCAAACAGCCTCTTCATGTTGGTAAAATATGCATCCCAGCAGGCACCACGGTTCTTTACCACTGGATGAGTCCTGGAAAAATGGTTTAAAACTAAATTGATGTTTTCGCCTGGAATCAATTTAGGATGATGTCACTTGCAACGATATGCTGTCATTGTGATTCAAACTCTGCAGGATAAGGATACGCTTAATATAATAGCATAGGGGAGAAGGTCTGTAGACGAACCGAGATAAGTTTGGTTAAATGTGTCATTTGGGGTTAAAAGAAAAACAAATATTGCACATCATTGCTCAAGCCATTCTAAAACATACAGCATATTCGATTGTGGTACTTATGTACATTTAAAAAAACAGGTTCAGTTTTAGAGTGAAAGCGATGACTGAGCCAAACTAAACCTCGACATGTTGTTTCAGAGCTTCTGCTGCTCAGCAGTTAATTACCTACTGTAAAGGCCTTGTTTCTGAGCATGATGTCAACATCTCCCTAAAATTGAGCTCACCCTTAGACTGCGGTCATTCGCAATATCAGCTTCGGTGTCAGCGCGGCGGTATGACTCATCTATCTGCGGTCGTTAACATTACATCTCTGGTTGATTTGGGTTTGTTTTAGATGCGTTTGTGTCTTTGTCTTTCATGTTTTAAACGGTCTTTTACCCAACAGGCGTGGTTCATTCATTTTAGCATAAAATCACTTATGTATATATATATATATATATATATAGAT